GTTTGAAACATATTTAAGGAGCTTTGGGTTCAGTTTTAATTCTTCTGGTGTCAGTTGCTCTGTTCCATCTCTTGCCTGTCCTAATTAATTTTAACTACTTGATTGGAAATTTTCTCTCATTTGGAGCCAGATGGTTTCCCAGGGTGTGTTTGTGAGTAGATCTCATGGAATTGTTCCTATCCTTTTCCAGTCTGTCTCAGCTGAGGCTCTGACAAAATTAATGTGTTAGGGGACAGTGATAATATATAATATTGCTCTATTTCTTGTGACTGCCTTTTAGCTTTCCCTCAAAGAAATTATGGTATCATGGAGAGATAAACTGAACCTCTGTATAGTTTATGGGCCAGTATAACTTCAGAGGCTAAGAATGGTATCAATCTGATTGTGTGTCTAGGATGAATATTTGAGATGAAGAGAATATCTACTGGTAGAATTCAACTAATTGTCAACTGACTACAGTACTTGGCTAGTCTACTAGGAGATCAAAAATCAAAAAGAACAACACTATAACTCACACCATTTCTTAGATATTATTACACAAGGTTTTTATTAATTAGAATTCTAGAAACAGATAATTAACGTGTCATTTCATAGGCAGAATATATTAGAGATTATTTTCCTGTTATAGCACCCAGTTGTGTAAATCCTTATTCATTTGTTTACTGAGCATCATTATCTGCAGACTAAACATGTTGGAGGGGTATGACAAGACAGGAAGAAGAAATTCACCTCTGAGAGTGTTCAGGCTGCACTGCCTCTAGCACATTGTTTTCTTTATTCTTTACCTCTTCAAAACCACTTATTAATGATGAGCAGAATATTGGAGTAAATGGACCATGGGTCTGTCCTGCAGGCTGTATACCTCACCCTCTGAAGAACCAACTCTCCTGAAGTTTTTAATGACATTGATTCACATCAAATAAGAACTCTGGCATCCTGGCTGGCATTTGTCTGAGGTGGGACCTGGACAATAGCCTGAGGTTGCTCAGAAAGGTCTTGTCAAAGATGTCTACCCACTGTGCTTGCTTTGCAAATAATGCCAAGGAGGCAAGAATTGGGTAGGGAAAAACTTGTCTTGCATCCACAGCGATACACAAAAAATTCACAATTTTGATACCAATCTTAATTTGCTTTTATGTTGTAGGTTATGTCTCACCTTCTGATGGATATGGCTCTGCAGTCCTTTGATGAGCAGTATCTGGGAGGCAGAGAGAAGGTGATGGAAGAACTAGAGCAAGGAGACTATTTCCAAAAGGAAATAGCTGCTAACAAGGACTATTTGAGTCTCTGGAAAAAGGCTCAGGAGACTTTGTTAAAGAGCCCTGTAGGTCTCCTGAGGGAGATGCGTGAGAGCCATGCCATAGTCCTCATGGCTTACACCATGAACTCTTCCCTGCACTCTCAGCTGAACTGGGCCACATCTACAGCAGGAAGGTCTCCAGAGCACTACAGACACAACTTCAGTTTCAAATATTTTAATTTTTACTTAACAACTGCTATCCAGATAATAAAGCAAAGGCAGAGAGGCAAGGAGAGCGTGGGGAAACGTAAGTGCTACCGGGTTCACAGAGGTGTAAAAGACATATATTGAGGCCATGGTAGGCAGCAGGGTGCAATTTGGCTGTTTCACCTCCACCTCACGCCTCTGGAAGGAACCCCAGAAGTTTGGGAATGAAACTTTGTTTACAGTGACCACTTGCCTGGGAGCAGCTGTGCAAGGCTCTTCTTACTATACATCTGAGAAGGAAGTCCTCATTCCCCCTTACGAGTCATTCCTTGTCAAAATCTTCTTTCGGACACAGCAAGGGAACCGGCTGCAACTGCATTCTGTGGGGAACTACAGCAAGTACCACTGTGAGCTCGTGGAAGGTATTGTATATAGCCTTTCATGCAGGAGGGTTGCAGGACAGTCTGGTCTCAAGTACTTCAAGCAGCCCTCACCAGCTGCACCTACCCAGGACCACACTCAAGGCCAAATCTGTAGCTTGCCCACCGTGTTCACCTATGAAAGAGAGACACATGACCCAGTTTTTACCCTTTTGTCATGAAGCCTGGGAGTAGCCCACAGCTCACTAAAGATAGTCCTAATACACAGTAGGTCTCAGGGTTCGCTGCAGCCTCCAGTTATCCCATCTGTCATTGCAAGGATGTCGTAGGACACATGCATTTGAATCCCCCGCACTCCTATTGCAAGGGCAGATGAGATTTGCAGTCAGCTTGAATTCAGATATTTCTTCTGGTGGCTTGCAAGGCTGCTACACTTCAGTCCTCAGAACTGTTCTGGGCTTTGGTCCCCTACTATTCTGGCAAGCTCAGGTAAGTGTACACAAAACTGTTGTTGCTTTAGTGGTGTTCTCTTTCCTGTGACAGAAGGGAAGAAAGATATCTTTTGTCAAAGAACACTGTGAGTTTCCTGGCTGTAGAGATAGCTCTGGGCTGGAAGACCTCACTGGGCCTGTTCCATATCCCTGTCCTTCTGTGAGTCCACCACCAATAAGAGACTCTCGTTTTTCTCTCTTTGGACAACAGTGTGTCAATGCAACCTTTGATCACAAAACAGTCATTCAAGAACAAGAGTTTGTGCCTGGACCTAAGCCAAAGTAGTAGTTAGACTTGAGAAAACAGCTCCTCTGGTCAAAGGCTGTGTTAGCAAGTGCAGGAAGATTCAGGCAGCCTTAAGAGGTCTAAGTGACTGCTCTTTTGACTTTCTTTCAGCTTCAAGAAGCAAGAACAGCTGTTCCACTGCCTTCACCTCTGCTGTTCTTCCTAGCGTAGTTCGAGTTTTCATGTGCTTGGCCTGCAATGACTGATTCTCTGGCCGCATCCATGTGTAAACATCTGAATAGCAGGAAAGAAGAATTCATAGGAAATCAGTATCTGGTTCAACTCTCCATTTGCTTTCAGCTGCAGCTCTCCAGCTAAGACTGGAACATTCAGCCTAGTTCATCAAAACAGACATTCCTTGGACTCATCCAGATAGGAGGGAAGTTACCTGTGGCCTTTCTGAAGAGTAGAGCAGTGACAACCTTCACTGTAGGTAGATTTTCCCTTAGGCATACAAGAAAGACACACATGGACTTTGGACTCTTTGCAGATGTCTCAGTACCTTTATTTTTGATGACAAAGTCTGTTTGTGGGATGCAGAAGGCAGCATGGTGCTAGAGTCAAGTGACTTACTGTGCAGAATTGCATATCTCCTTTGAGTGCAGGTTCCCAGGGAACAGCAAAGTCTGTGGCTGCTGCATAGCAGTCTTTCCCTGCTGCATGACCCCGTGCATCAAAGCCATAGGTCTCATCTCAAGCTGACTGCATCTCTCACAGAGGGGAAAGAAGCATAAAGATGCCTTGAGACATGAACGTAGCAGCAGAGGATCACGAGACTTGTCAGGCCTGTCTTCAACTTTTATGTTTGACTTTACTATTTCTTCTGAAAAACTCAGGCACATCTTCTGTTCATAATAGTCCTGCTGGTCATTTCATGCTGAAATGAAGGAGAATCTGTGGAGTCCACTGTTGTCTTCATGGGTGTTGGATGTGACTGAAATTCACTTACCTGCCTTTCTATGTCCCTGGTCTGCAATGTCTAATGCTGGAGATTGAATCAACATCACAAATTGGAATTGGAATTTATGATTTAGCTATAGACTCCTCTCACTTTTATGTGTTCATTTAGCACTTCTGGAACCTTAGACACCCAAGGCAGAACATCTGTGAAGTTCTCCCATCTCCAAAAAATAACAGTGTGGAAATGATGAGAGACATCTTCTACCTGAAATTCCCCTTTCCAACATGCCTTTCTTGATTCGTTGCCCCTGGTCCCTCACCCCACTGATGTTAGCCCTGGGCCAAGGCTAAGGTCAGAGAGGTTATCTCACTGGCCCAAGGAGACTAGTCATAGTGATTTAACTTTGCAGTGTAGTCATCAAATAATTGAACTGAAACTCACTGACACATTTCACAAATGACCCCAGCTTTCAGTCACTGGTGAACTTGGCAGGAAGCTGGAGTTCTCTATTCAATACTATCTGTCCAAATCAGTAAGCAGCAAGTTAGCTATGCAAAAGAGATCTGAATATAAAAGGAAAACACAAACTGCAGATCAGTTAGTTAGTCAAAAGTAAGGACAGCCAAAAGCACCTGTGTGAACTGCTTGACTCTCAGAGTATCTCCATATAAGCTTGGTGCTGTCATTCCCTTGGAAATCCTGAGGCAAGGAATGCAGAACTTAGGCACATGACAAATATTAACATTAGAAATGTAGGCACTTAAGGAATTTGGTTGTCCAGATTTTAGCAGATTAAATGGAGGATTTTGAGAGTCAGCATCTTGTGTATCAGATCAAGGTGTCTATAATGGCAGAGGCCATCATCTAATCAGCTCAAATCTAGTAACATGTTCTGTGAAACTGAACTACTGCCCCTGAAATCCTGAGTCAGGCTTGCCCAGGCAGCAAAAATGGATTTAATACAGAACTACTTTACTATTAGCTTGTTTTGTATCTATATTTCATTTACTTTCTTGTTGCCTTTGGTTTACCAGTGATTTCAAATAATGAGTTATCAAAATTTGATTTTGATCCCTAAATGCTCAAAGATACTAAGTCCGTAGTTTGAAAAAGAATAAAAACATTAGAAGCAGCTGCTGCAGATACCTCTTGTATGTGTGTTCAAACATGCTTAAACTTTTTCTTATGTGAGAATTACAGGAATTAAGATGAATTTCGCATCAGCACATTTATGACTCTTTTTGGCTTATCTGTTATTGCTAGGATGCAGGCTTCAACCACTTTAATCCAAGGCTTGGGATTCTTCACAAGGTGACTTCAGCATCCTGAAAGCCTCCTCTAGGTAGTCAGCTGCTATTTTCAGGGCTCTCTTTATGGATTTGTAACCTTGAAGGATAGCCTGTAGGAAAACAAGAAGTGAAGAGAAGGAGGATAGAGAATGAAGCTTGAGCTGTTGTGGTGTTACACTCAAGGAGAAGCTGCCTTCTGTGGTAGCTGATGTCTCATTTTATTGCAGCATCTTCACAATATCGTCACAGTCCATGAGAAGTTCTGATACTTGGAGGGATAAGGCAGGTGAACTCACTAACTGATGAATAGAAGACTCATAATGAGTCAGGGAAGTTGTTACATTTCAACATCACTGCAACAAGTATACCCATGATGCTTTCTACACCCGCCTTGTGATTCTCATAAAATTCCTTTACTGCAGCAATCTTTTCCTGCAGGGAGGTAATGGGACCAGCAATCTTGGCATAAAAACTCTGGCTGATGATTTGCTGTACATCTTTGGTTTTTTGTTTCCATGGTGGCTTGCATCTGTTTCAAAACACTGACTAGGAGCTGCAGATTCTCTTTAATGCTGAAGTTTTCTTTTACTGACATGATGGGCAGGTTGGTGCCAACATGTGCATTGGGGAGTCGGAATAGTGTGTTGGTTGAAGAGACATAGATGTACACTAAGTCATGCAGATCCTGGTAGGTCCTGACCAGCCTTCATTCTTAAAACTGGGGTGGGCTCACATTTCTGGAGTGGGATCTGACTCTGAAAAGCAAACAGAGGAAATCCAGAAGACACAGGGGAATAAACCAATATATTTTCAGTGAGAATGTTACATATCTGAAATCAATATTACAAACTATCAACCCATCTGACTCACCCTGCCCCAAGACATTACAGTTAGAAGAAAACATAGAAAAATGTCTTTGTCAGGCGTGGAAAGGGTCCTACCAAGAAGGCCAGCAAAATATGGTGTAAACAGCTGCTGCAAGTATTTTTACCCTTATGACTGCAGGAAGTATGACTCTGACCTTCAGCATGGAATATGAAAAGCAATGGAAGTGCTGCAAGTGAATTGCTCTTACCTTTTGGTGTTTATTGATAAATTTATGGGAGTCCTGGCAAGCAATCTACTTTACATCATCCTTAGAAATATAATCCTTCAGTTTGTATATACTGGTGGGTCTACACAGAATTAAACTCATATTCTGGGGAGGGGGGAATAGACACAGAAAAGTCAAACACATCAGATATCTGCACTCAAGAGACAAAGCAAGGGAAGGCTGAGTAATGCAATGTTTTGTCAGGCTACAGTTTCCTGTGAAGTGACCCATATCTGTCAGTTCATACAGTGACTAGACATTACAAGCATCCCTTGCTAGGTGGAAACACAAAACGTTCTCCTTGCTTGGGCTCCTGTCTCACTACTGTTTTGACTGGTAAGGAAGTTAAGTCTTTCTGCTTGCACCTAAGAGTTCTCCTAAGGCCAAGAGCAGATAGAGTCCTGGGACAGCATGTAACTGAGGGACTGCTCCAGATGTTGCCTTTGCTTGTGCCGGGGCCCTGGAAAGCCAGACTGGTTGTAGCAGACGTTTTTCATCAGCTATTGATGTAGTTAGATGTGCAGTTAGATGTGTCCAAGCAGTTGCAACTTCCCATCCCACTTCATACTTTGAAAGACTTTTCTCTCAGTTCTCAGCTCAACCCTCTACCTCTTCCTCCTTTCTCTTCCTCTGGTAAAAGTGGTATGAACTTGTGTGAAACGGCAAAATTGACTTTAGCCTTCACTGCTGTTCAGCCAGAGCTGGCTCTGGGGCTCCAAACCACTTCTCCCACTGTCCTGGCATCAGAAGAGAGGACCTGGCAAATTGCAGCAAAAAAGAATGTTGCATTTAGGGTGAGAATAAATTTGGTAAGAGATAAATCCCCTTGCGTTCTAGCTGGTCCTCAGAGATTAGAGGGGCTAGGGACGGCTGGGCTTATCTCATAATAGGTATGCCAATTGGGGCCGTAACTATAGGTCTGACCTGGATGCCTGAACAGCCCATATGCTGTAGGTCCGGTTGCATTCAAGAGAAGCAGTCAGATTCATGAATAGTATGGTTTATTGTTATGCAACATCTACAGATTCCTTAAGATTGCCTATGATAAATGCATAAACTGCAGGTTGGCTATATAGCACTACACAAAAGAAAAATGATTGCAGTCACACACACTAAGTTCTCAGGTATACACTCAGCATAGCCGAGGAAATCTTACCAAAAGGCATCTCTTGGGGGGTGTGTGTGTGTGTGTGTGTGTGTGTGATAGAGCACAAACCCATCGATCTGTCCCTCCGATTTGGTGTTGGATTATTGTCCCTCCAAGTTAGGTAAAAAACTTGTGGTAGCATTTATCTTAGTTTGTATGTGTGAGGGGTGGGACTGTACTCAAGTCATTATCTTTTGAGTAATGACACAGTGCCTTCTTTGCTGCCAGGGATACAGCTGGGGTTTTTTTGGAAAAAAGGGAGGATGAAAAACAAGGTTGGCTTGATACGAGGTGTGCAGCTGAGTTTTGTGAGAAAAAAGGGAAGATGAGAAACAAGGCTGGCAGACTCCTGCAAAAACCATCCCTTGAGAGAAAGAAGTAGAGCAGGAGATAAATCTGTCCATGAAATGAGTGAAAGAATGGGACTGTGCGGCCTATACCCTGCTTCGCATTCCTCCTTGGTGCCATGACAAACACAAATCACTGGACCTCCATCCCGTCCTGTGCTTGCTCTGGGCAACCTGTGTCAAGGAAATGTGTGTTTTACAGATTTCTCACTGTTTTGCTTTTCTCATATTTCCAACACCTAACAAAGGGTAACAGGCATTACAGATGAAGTAATTCCCTCAAACTTAATAGGTCTGAAACAATAGCTATTAATATTCCCTAAAGACCCACAGTAAAGCAGGAACAAAACTGCTTGCTTATTGTTTAAATTATTTTCTGTCATGTTCCAAAACTCTGAAGACCTGAAATCAGTTTCCAGCCTACAGAATATGACACAGAAGCAGTTGCCAGCCTGATCAATTCAATTCTGTCCAATACTGGAAGAAATATTTCAGGACTACATGGCATTCTCAGTTAGTAACAGGAGTCACAACTAATTGATCATTGCAGAAATGTAACATTTAAACCATTAGTGTTCTCTCTCAGCTCATCTTCTCATGCTTACAGCTCTGAAAACAAGGACAGTGGCTCTAGGTAGAATACAATAGCTCAGCTTTCAGGGGAAAATTTGGCAATTGCAGAGTCCTCATTTTAGGCTTGATCTTTTACTTTCATTTCAGAACTCAACCATTCTTGACTGGGGAGGTAGCACTTATGACCAGAGCCTAGTGGACAGCAGGTCCATCTTTGTAAGGATTAGAGCATGAAAGATGTCTAGCTTGGATGAAGGGAGAAGTACAAGCATATCTTGCTGGGACAGACAAAGCCCGTTTTCACTGTCTGTGGTATTTATTTTTCTATTTGTGTGGGACTATTCAACTTTTGTTCCATAATTTGCAGGTGTACAAAACCAGTAATGACAATAATTCATTATTTCAAGGAATAACTGCAAGCATTGGTGTTTATACTTATAAACAATCAAAATTTATAAATGCCAGTACAAAACCTAATCCCATAGCTGTATGAATGAAAAGTGCTGTCCTGAGAACAGCAAGTAATACCACCCCCTTTCAGCCATGGCTGTAGGTACCTGTGATGATACCTTTGTCATAGGTGGGGGGATTCATGCTGTAAGAGGAACAGAAGGCTTTTGGAAGATCTAACAATTGCAAATGTGTTAAATAAACTGAAATCTTAAAATTGGAAGGAAGGGGAAAGGAGGATGAAAATGAGGTGGATATGGGTAAACATCACACAACAGAATCAATGACAAACAGGCAGGCAACAGGACCCAGCTGAAGCCCAACCTCTGGATCCCTAACTCATCACATGGTGCTGGAAAACACCAGAGGAACACAGGGGAAAGAGAATGAAGTCACTGTCCCATACACATTTCAGCTGATTGCAGGAGCACTCAGACAAAATCAGGTAGGCAGTCTAAATGTTTTATTATAAAAACTTCTGGAGAAAATTACCCTGGAGCTGGAGAAATAGTTAGAAATACAGAAATGTGCCTAACTCTAGAAAGCAAATGCAAAAACTAGCAGAAGTGTCAGTGTGAAGAGTAAAAGGTAATTTTAACATTAAGAGACATAAATCTAGAGTATTTGTAGGAAACTGAAATAATCATGCATAAAGAATAAATGCTAAACATTTCCTCCACACCTGTCTAGTACATAAAATGTTTGTTGAAGTGCTATTCCTCTTAGAACATTTTGTTTTCTCAGTTTCTACAAATAAGGAAAAAGAAAGACCTTGCAACAAAACATTACTGGAGTAGAAAGGATAAAATATCACTTTGAGACAGAGAGCAAGCCAGCAACATCCCTGAGGCAAGACTGATATGAAACCCTACCTTGCATTTATAGGCTTTATGTTTCCTGGAAAATCACAAAACTTTACTGTATATGTACTTTGCTCCCTCCAGTATGAAGGAAAAGAAAGATGTGTTAAAGTTTGTTATCTTGACAGAGCCACAAGGTAAGTGGCTGAAAGAAATGTACAGTACTGTGAAAAATATTGTGAAAAAAAATTATCTCTGACTGGCTTGTAGTTCAACACTGAGACTAAAAGTTGGCTAGGGGACTGTTGAAATAATTCTGTTTTTCTACAGTGATCTTGGAGGGTGGTGTGTTTAGTAAAATGCAGCTGGGTCAGCGTCAGCAGATAATGAAAGAACTACAAAAGACCAGAATGACATACAGGTATCTTTTAAAGAAGCAAAATCTATCTAGTCCCCCCACATGACTATTTGTAGCTGTAACTGTGTTATGTAGGCACCAAGAGCACGAAGAGTTTTATCTTGGAAAAATGCAAATAGCGCATAAAAGTGGCCCAGATTTGCAATATGAGGGCTGAGAATGCCAAGTACCAACAGAGAAACGAGTCTTCTTACTCATTCATAGTTTTCCCTTGTTGCAAAGTAAGACATATGCATTTAAGTCAAAACTATGAGAAAGCATTTTTACTTTGCAGCTGCTGATGGGTTAAAGGGAAGTGGCAAAGGGTTGGTTACAGAAGCTTAGTGATGAGGAGTAACTCCATGATCACTGGTACCTCAGTCACTTCGGACTCTGTATATTGACATGCAGATAATGAAGGAAAATATATTAAATATGCCCTTCTGCTGACAAACCAGCAGCAGCTCAGAGAATAATGGTGACCATAAGGATTAGGCACAAGTATGTGAGGTGGAGGAACCAAAGAAGTTAAATTTTGTGCTCTGGTCTGTACAGTGATAAGGCAGGGTCAGATTCTGCTCAGTCATGTCCTAGGAGCTTGGTGAATACCTGCTGATATTAGTGCCACACAGGACCCCCTGGGTATGGAGGGAGTGTGGCTGCGCAGGCAGAGCTTTCACTGCAAGCTGGTGCATGCTGCTCCAAGGCAATCTGCCATCACAGGCACCCTGCTGGAGTAGGTTCACCTCATGGTGCTTACACAGCATGCTGAACATCATGGGGCTGTCTGCTTGATGTTCACGAGTGAAAAAACAATGGGGGTTTGATTACAGCATTCAGGAGGTGAATAAACAATGAGGGAACAGGGGCTAAATATCAGGGAAGGAAACAGTGGGAGATGTGTGTAAGGTGATATAGGTTAGGATGGGTTTATTATAGATAATTTTACTATTCTCTATGAATTTCCAAGTGTGAGTTTATTAGTACAAGCACAGAGTGCTTATATAGTAACAAAACTTAAAACTTAAAAATATAAAACTTATATAGTTTTATCTTGAATGTGAGGAGAAATAAGCTAAATCATCATAAAACACCCTTATGGTGATACAGAATGTGCCCACTCCACCAGTCATCATAGTTGTTTAAAAATCAGATGTCACTAACTGAAAAAAATAGGCTGATACAAAAGTGTGCCTAGAACAAGCCTTTTATTTCCACAATTTATTTTTGACTTTGCTGATTAGATGAGATTGCTCCATTTTTTAGTGAACTAGTTCAGTTTCTACCATCATCAGTTTCCAAGGTAAAGAATGACCCATCTTCATTTTACCAGTCTGCTGATTACATATTTGTTAGCTATTTTTGTTGCTCTGAGTATGTCCAGTATCTCATAAGGTCCTTTTCCAATCATTTGGCTAAAGATCCAAAACAATAATTAAGATTTCTACATTTACTAGCTATGCCTTGGGATTTGACTTGCTGAGTATAAAAAGAACCAGCGAGGAAGAGATAAAGGGCATTTCACTGCTCTTTAAGGGCTAGGGTTATGGGTGTTGAAGAGACTAAGAGATTTATTTTCTCTCTTGAAGTAGCCTATTTCTGAAGAATGGCGCTGAGTGACCTCCTTTACCCAGATAACCCCAAGAGAAGGCAAGAATTGATCCATCTGCACCAGGAATTGCTTGACTGCATGTCCACAAATTTCTGTGCAACAAATGAGCTGGCTAGAGTGCTGAATGAACACCTGGGCTGTACCATTACCCACATTCAGATGAGAGAGAACAGCACTGTCAAGGAAAACTGTGACATTATCATTCAAGCAATGAGTGAGATTCAACGTCAGGTACAGAAGATTGATAGTGTCATGAAGGAAAAGCTAGAGCCTGTGTTGTACCAGAAACTGTATGACATCAAAGAGCCCGAGCTGGAGAAAATTGCAATAGCCCATAAAGTTTTTTCCATTATTCTTGGAGAAGCAACTTCAACAGCTGGGATGGTAGCTATCAAACTTCTTGGCTCCAGTCTTATAACTCTCACTGTGAGCAAGCTCGTCAGTCTCCTTGTGCAGATTGGGGCATCTGTTCTTGGGGGAATCAGCATCACCATTCTTGGGCTTGGCATTGAAATGATCCTCCATGCAATCCTGGGAGCTGTGGAGAGGAATCAGCTTCTGACAGCTGTGAGAAGCTATGAGAAGCACCTGGCTGAGTTTAAAGCAGCCTCAGAAAAGTACCAGCGTGTCATACGTGAAGTGACTTCTTTGGTGAGACAGCAGGTTCAGTGAACTGAAGTTCACTGAGTTCTCTCTCCTGCTGTCACAGCGACTGCAGCAGCTATGCCTGCAGAAACCTTTTTCATTCATTATGGTAAATAAACTACCAATGGCTTTTTTTTCTTATTAGTGGCAGCAGAGAAAGAGATGTGACAGATCAGGGAATTTGCACTGAAATTTATTAATAGGAAACTGGCTTATAGGTTCTTCTTGGAGGCAACGCTTCAAATACTTCATAAAATTCATTCAGCTCTCTTCTGGAATGCGTTGTAGATAACCTTGAACTGCAATTCATAATAATGTCAATAATATTCACTGCTGGAGCAGTAGTGGTGAGAAGGTGTGATTTTTCTCTTACTGTGTTTCTATACCAAAGAGGACAACATGATGGAGAACACAATTTAAACAAGTCAGTTCATGTCGTCATCTGGAAGGCTCATCAGGACAGCTGTGGTTGCTAAACTCTTAGTGTGGATTAGTGCTAAATCTGATAGGCTGAATTCTCTGTTCACTGAACTGTCTACAAGGACTATCTGAAGCATATTTAACTGCTTTTCCTGTCCCATCCCTGCAGAAGGAGCCAGTCAGAGATCTTCTTTAACTAAACTCTAATCTCAGGTGATTAGCAGGTAAGAGAAGCATGGGCCTACAGGCAAAAACAACCAACCTTGCCCCACAACAGAGAGAAACCAGCTGAGGTGTTCCAGGATTGCCTGTCTGTGAATAACCTCTTATGCTCAGTAATGCCCCACTCCTGTCAACCTACAGGTAAATAATTTTGTGCACAGCTGATGCTCTGTTGAATGAAATGGGATTATACACATGTATAAGTGTCTGTAGGATTACAGCCCTTTAATGCACTAAATTTCATGTGCTTTACCCAAATCCACCAGTGTGGGACTGCCAAAAGCAGGCTCAGATTCTGCATTTCACAATATGCTACCAAATACCCTTATTTTTCAGATTTTAAAAACAAAGCTGGAGGCAAAACCATGATTTGCAGTCTCTTTCTCTGATTTCCTGTGGTTTGCTTTATTTGCTTTGATCTTTGGAAAAAAGAGAGTAATTTAAGAATTAATAAAAATTAACCTGAATATTCTAAGGCTTCTCTTTCCTGTACTTTTTTTTCTTTTGGTTCTGTCTGAAAAACAAATCAAACTAAATAATGATAAAAACATTAAAATCTTCATTATAGATGCAATTTATAAATTCTTTTTTATATCCATGATAGACTAATCTAGTAGATTGTACATAGGTTCCCTTTTTAGTACTAGATTTCCCCATACTAAAAGCATACTCAAATCCACACTTGTTTATCAATATTCAATATTAGCAATATTAGATGATTATATTAACTAAATTGTGCCTGTGAAAGTAAAGAGATGGGTGAGAGTACAACAGAGAAGGTCTTCACTGGGTTCCTAACCCTTCCATTCTGGGTTTTGGTGGGGTTTGTTTGTGTTTTTTTGTGTTTGTTTGTTTTTCCCTCCCTACTGTTCCCACTTTTAATCATCTTTTCTGACTCCTCTTTGCTTTTGTGTTCAAAACCCACTAGATTGCAATGCAGCTTCTGGCTCTCAAGAAGCTCTGCCAGCTATCAGGGAGAAAGCCCAGGGTTCAGAAGCACGGATGGGTGATAGGGACTAACAAACTGGGTCCAGCACAAGCTGCAGACTGGGTGATGTGGGTCAAGAGATGCAATTCAGAGGAGGCAAAACGCCCTGCCCTGCCTCACTTGAGCTATTGTGGTGGCTGACATGGTGACCTGAGGCATCATTTCTCCAAGATGTGACATATCATGTCTCTTGACACAAGTGGCACTCAGTTTAGAGGTACTTGTTTAGAGGCAAAAGACTGTCAACCAGCAGAACCACAATATTTGAGTGTTGGAGAGGCAGGAGGTCCTGGTTCCTGGAAACTTTCTATGTGTAAATGCATATTTTAATTCAGGAAGAAAAAAACACCAGCTCAGTACATATCTTTACGAGATTGCCAATCACTGCTGTACAAGAATAGCAGTCAAATAAAAACAAATCTATTTTCAGGCAGTTTCTCCACATTTTCTTGAAAGCAAATTTTAAGCAGTGTCAGGGGAAGTAGGATACACAATGAGGAACATCAAAATATACAGTTTCTATTCACCTCTTGATGGATCCTTGTTTCTGGTGGGCTTAAAGCAAAGTTGGCTTGCCTGCAACAGCAGGTGTGGCAGGTGTCCTCATGCCCATGAGATTTTGGAAGATGTTGAACATGTTGGAGGCTGACAGGCTGTCCCTCTGCTTAGGAGGTAGGAGGCTGTGAGCTCGCAGAGGCTGGGCCAGCATCCCCAGACAGCTAGGAGAGTTGTCTGTGACCTCATAGAGGAGTAAGGCAACATCCAGCCCTGACAAGGTGGCTCTGGGGTAAAAAACTCGCCAATCAGCTTGGGAGCTTCTCAAACTCCTTCCCTCAACTCTAGCAATAAGAAAATAAATGGGAGTTACTTGCATTACCCACAGTTATATACTTGAGCTCAGTGCAGCATGCATTTAACCGGCTAGGAGCAAGGGAGAGCATGCAGTTGAGCGGAAACAGCTTAGCTCTGTTCCTGCTTGGTAACTGAAGCTCTGTCCCAAAAAATAAGAAATAACCCTCTGACCAGTCTTATATTTGGTCTTCCAAAGATGTCACAAGCAGTCTGGAGTTAACCAGTCTGCTGATGCTTCTCCTCTAGACTCCCTGGAGCTGCCTCTTGGTGTGACAGAAGTACCAAGTGAAAAATGTGAAGACTTTTGTCCTCCAAGTCAGCAGACACTGCTGGCAGAAAGCAGTCAGGGATGAGGCGGTACCATTGTCCCCACTGAGCCTGGTATTGTCATGACAGAAGACCCCAAGCCCTGTGAGGAGCTGCCAGTCTTCAAAGCTTCATCTGTCCCCTTCTCCAGTGACTTGGTACATGACAGGGATGTGTGTGGCCACAGCATTCCCACCACACCCCCTCAAGCATTCTCCCTCTGCTCAATCTGTTCTGGAAAACTGTATAACATGCATGTTCCAAAGAAGAACAGCCCCAAAGAAGAAAAGAAACTGTAAACCAGCTAAAAAAAAGTCTAAGCTGCTTTCAAACCTGGTAACAAGAACAATATAAAAGAACGGGCCAAAGAAGCACAAGATGGGGATGACTGCTGTGTACATGGTTAGCAAGACCCCCAAGAGCTAGGGCTTCAGGAGCTCTGGCTCCAAGGATGCTCCTCAGCTGCCCATCTGCTAACCTGGATTTTGTGATGCACAACTTAAATGTGTAGTTTTGCTTTTACTCACCTTCCAACGATCCTTCATAAATTTCCAAGTTTGCCGACTAAGTCTCCATTATTTGAAGAACTGTAACAACATTGCAGGTAGCAGTAACAATGGTAACAGTATGGCAGGTTCACACAGAGCAGGGGGTCTACAAATCCCGCTCAGAGATCCAACCACCTCTGCTCCCAGGATCATCTGTGTGTAGAAAAATGTCCTCCCTACACTTCCCCCTGGCTCACTGATTCTTTAAGCCTGCACCCATACTTTATTGCCTGCCCCTTCTTATTCACAGTGATGCAACTGCTATTCAATGAGATGCTTCAGGTATCTTTATCCTGGTTCCTTATGTGTCTGTGGACTTCTGTTGGGAGACACACTTTGGGCAACGAGGCAGAACAGTTCTTACCAAGTGTTTACCAGCCTCTCCAAAGCTGATCACCAGTTTACCACAGGAGGGGCTGCAGGGAAAGACAAGAAGAGTAGCTTCTGTGGTCCCTGCTGGGACCAAACTAGCTTCCCTGTTCTCTTTGCACAGCCTGAGTTGCCCGATGAACGTCACCCACTCATTCTCCCGTAGTCCCCTGAAACAGCAGCTGCCACATGAGCCTAATAGAGGGATGCCAGCTCCCCTCGCAGGGGAACGGTGCTGCCTCGAGGCCAAACCCAACAAGAAACGCCTGTCACATCTGAGACTGAGGAACTCCTGCGCCCTCAGCACTTTGACTTTATTCCCCGCGGACACGCCCCTCAGCTCCACCCTGTTTCAGGACAGAGGGAGCACTGTTTAGGATCTTCCCAAGGAAAGCGTGGGGGAAGAGTGGCCGCAGTGACCACGTTCACAGCGCTCCTCTGCCGCCCCAGCGTATCCCCAGCATCGGCCACAGCGGCGCCGCACTCCCTCACCCCGAGGGGCCGGGCGCAACGACTCGCGCCGCTCACGTGATGCCCCGACGGGCGCGCGGCGCCTCAGCCCCGCCCTAACCACAGAGGAGACTCGCGCGGGGGAGAAAAGAGCGGCGGAACCATAGAGATGGCGTTGGCGCGCTAAAGCTCCCGCTTCCGGAGCGCCACTCCGCGCGGCGCGGCAGTCGCGCTTTACGGCGGCGCGCCACTTGGTCCCGGTTCAAGATGGCGGCGGGGCCGCGGCGGCAAGGAGCGTGGGGGTTATAGAGGCCGCTGCAGCGGGAGGGAGCCGGGCCGCCCCGGCCGGGCCGGACAGAGGGGTGAGAAGAGCGGGACGGGACGGGGCAGGGCAGGGCAGGGTAGGGTAGGGCAGGGCAGGGAGGAGAAAGGAAGGAGACAGGAAGGAGACAGCGGTTTGCGCTATCGCCTTCTCTTCCTCAGCTTGGGGGGAGGAGGGGAGGCTCTCGTGTGCCTCATAAGAGGCTTTCTGCCTCGTTCCCCAGGGGCCAAGAAAATAATAAATTTAGTGGGGTTTTGTTTGTTTGTTTGTTTGTTTTCTTTTTTTTTTTTTTTTTTTTTTTTTTTTTTTTTTTTTTCTTTCGGCTGTTAACTTATTGAGTTAAAGCTCTTTGAATTGTGTCCTACAGGATTTGGGATCGAGATTTCATAAGTTTATTATCTTTCTCATTGCTCTTTAAAAGTTAGAACTGTGCAGAATACGGGGTGCAAATGTAACTCCTGTTTGTTGAAAAGGTAGTGTCTTGCAAAAAAATTCGTGTAATCTTATGGTGATCACAAATCATGGGGTGTTATTGCAAACAGCAGGCGACCTGTGAGCATAACCTGGTAGTATAAGCCATGAGCAGAGCTCAAGATTTTTACTAGTCAGTGCATTGAATGTGCTCGGTGCTTGGAGATTGTTAGGAACTCTTTCTGTTAGACCTTGAAGCACGAAGCAGTGTGCCTAAATTTCTTTTTAGGGTATAAGGGGGAGGCACGTCATCTAGTGGTTTAAAAGTGACATCTGTAATCAGGAACGAAGGGTGCACATGGTGACTACAGTGAGGCTGCAGAGAACTTCAGACTGAACTTGTGAATACTTTCACTTTGGTCACAATCTGTGTGGATGGAGTATGGTGATTAGGAAGTTGTGTCCCATCAACTCCCAAACTTAAGAGGTTGTTTCAGACTTTGGGGTGGAATCTTTTGTGCCTTTTTTTTTTCACTTTGTTTTTTTCCCAGTGGTATTTTGGCAGGGAAGTAAGGCTGGAGGTGGGGGGAGATTAGAACTGTGAGAGAGGCAACATTCCTGACTAGTTTGGATGCTTCCATAGTCATCTGTAAGTTGTAGAAATGTCTAAAGACAAGCAATAATTATTTTCAGGGTAACCTTTTCTTCTTTGGTTGTCATAACACAGCTTGAAATAATACTGATAGAAATAGAGAGTGTAAGGGCAGTGGTATAGCAGTGGTCTATGGGGAAGAGAAGAGGGGGATGTGTGTGCAGAACACTTGCTCATGGGTATGGTGGTGCTGGGGAGAGAAATTAAAGGCATCTTAAAATCCTGAGGAAAGGAGGATATTTGTGGGAAACATTTAGAAATTAGAGGAATGGAAAGATAAAGATTGAAGAGCTCTCATGAGAGTAAATGAAAAGCTAGGACTCTGATATGCTCTTAGGAAGACAGAATGCATATTTCTCCATACTGGTGCCCCCCTGTAGTGTAAGCAAGAAACTTATTTGAATCTTAGAGTGAATAAGGAACTAGTTAATTAGTTTGAAGTATATACTTAGTAAAGTAGTAGTAAGTAGATAAATAGTAGTACATAGGTAGAGTGATTTTGAGTGAATGAGCTTA